CCAATAAGATTTAGGATTTATTTGAGATAACTATAGCTTTTTGTGAGAGTAGTTGTAAAGCTATTGAGGGAATTATGTCAAACTCACACACATAAAATATATTAACTTTGAGCAAACACCCCTTAATTGATAGTCAAAGTTATCTACCAACATATTAAAGATTCATTTTGGATGACTTTTTAATTGCTTCTTAAAACATAATTTTCACTACTATTAAAACAGGCTTTCAAAGCACTTTTTTTATCCTACAACACAGCTAAAACACCTAAAATATTTTTTAACAACGGTTTATAAACCGCTACACATCTGCCATATTTGTTATCGGTGCAAACAGTTTTCGCAGTGCTAATTAAATTGTTGTAGTAGATGGTGATTTAACAGTGCTTTCTTTAGCAGCGATTTTAACCGCTACACGTTTGGGTTATAGCAACGATTTTAACACCTACGAATATGGAGAAAGGATCTTTAGCTGTAAAATTGCAATTTGAACCAATTGCAGCAGTTATAGCATTTCTGAAAGATTTTATAAAAAATCTTTTTAAGTACAAAATTTTAACTTTTTTTATTAAAACATTATTTTAAAAAGTAAGAAAAAAATCCTCCCAAATAAAGTCTAAGTTCAACAGTATAAGCTCTAAAAATTAAAACAATTCAAAGACTATCCCAAATAGGCTCTCATTATTCTCTCCCTATACATAGAATCAGGTGATTTTTTTTAATTTTATAATAGTAGAGAGATATAAATGGTGGCGTGGGACTTATTCGTTAGAGATATATTGAGCAACGGAAATCAGGAAATGAGGGATAGTGAGGCTTAGGTGTCCTAATCAACGGAATTTTCGTACTAAAAAATAGCTGAAGAGTAGAGAGATTAATTATAAATAGCAGATTAATTAGAGCTTCTGCTTCTCCTACCAAATTCCATCAATCGTCTTAATTAGTTCTTCTTCTCAGTTCCCGGACAGACTTCTCCTTCGTCTTCTTCTTCCTCCGCTCACTAATTTGCTATCTACTAAGTGAGTTTCAGAGCTAGTAATGGCTGAAGGTTCTTCCAACTTCAGGTAATACTTACCATTTATATTTTACTATATACGATTCGTTATTGGATCTTTACTTTTAGTAAATAACTTTAATGAATGTTAATTGTTGGCTGCAGTGTGTGCGTTGACAATGAAACATACGAGGATTGTACTCTTCTCAGGGTATTCTCCTTTCCCTCTTTTAATAATTCAATAATTTAATTATAATGCTTTTCAAACAAATTATGTCTGTTTTTTATTTGGATTGTTTAAGTAATTAATATGACAAAAAGAAAACTAATTTAAATGTAGGTGGAAGGTGAGAATGTGCATGGTATTCTCTTACAAATAGTTCAGGCCTTGAATGTTTTCCACGTCACTGGTCACCATGGCCACAAGCTTAGAGACCCCAGCTTCATGCGCTACATGCAAAGGTCACTTGATGGCACATCAAAAACTGATTTAAATGCAGGTCGAAGGTGAGAATTGGCATGGTATTCTCTTACAAATAGTTCAGGCCTTGAATGTTTTCCACGTCACTGGTCACCATGGCCACAAGCTTAGAGACCCCAGCTTCATGCGCTACATGCAAAGGTCTCTTGATGGCTACCAAGAAGGAAACGGATCTTACGACATCGCCCAACTCAAAATCTGTCGCGACAACAAAGTCAATGATGAATGCCTCACTTGTGGCTGCATCGCCCTCGAACTAAGCTCTGTTGACTGCCCCGTCATTTTCTTTAAGATCAGTGCCGTGATTTTTGAACTATCTTTCATGGTGGATACGGGTGAAGTGTGAACCCACAACGGTTGCGTCGCTAGCATCCTCAACCGCTTGATATGAGACCATATAGCACCCAAAAATGCAAATCATAGAATATAAACTCTATATTTTGTGAGCCGAAGATATGGTGTTGCATTCACAATCATTCTTCCTTTCAAAGAAGATTCAATCCCCAATCTTCTTATGCATCGCCTCCAGCTTGGGGATGGAATCGTTATGATGCATGCGGAGATTGCGGATGGAATCTTCTTTGAAAAGAAGAATGGTTGCGAATGCAACACCATATCCCCGGCTCACAAAATATGGAGTTTATATCATATGATTTGCTCTTTTGGGGGTGCTATATGATCTCATATCAAACTATTGTTTAGCATATTTTCACGATTTCGTTAGATTTTAGAGAAACGATGATAAATTAATGTTAACTCTTCAAGATTCCTTTAAATTTATTTTGCTAAAAATTTCAAATTTGCTTAATTAAACGTGTTTAGATTTTTCGGTCTTTCTTTACTTAAATAAATGTGTTTCATTTTTGAATTAAATTTCTCATTGACTGTTTTATTTCATTGGACTCCAATTCTCTTTCCTTGTGGATGTATCATTATTGGTTGGCATAAATCATTCAAAATTTTTGCTTAAATTAAGTGAAGATTATCTTTTGCTGTTTCGTTGAGGAAAAAAATATTATTATTATTATTTTATGATAAGAGAACTTATGTGTTTAGACGAAGATTTGGTCGCAATTGAATATAAGATAATAGAAATGATTCTTTATTTTTCATAAAGTTAAGGACATAATAAATTCAACATTTCCTTATTTTTCATAAATTTTTTAGATATAATTATTAAAAATAAATAAATTCAGTTTTATTGTAATAAAATGAGTCTCTCAAGAAAATGAATGTTGACATAAACGATGGTTATATCTATTAAGTTTTTTTTTTTTTTGAAAAATAAAATTATGTAAATAAATTATATATACTTCATAACATTATGAATAAGTTTTTAAACATGATTTTAAGAAAATTGTAATTTATTTCTCTAACACCCCACTTAAAATTACAAAACTATAATATTTTAAATCTATCTTAATGTAAAGTAAATGCATTATTTTATTTATTTTTGTTTGGTATGAAGTAAAGTAAATGTAATGTAAACTGTAAGAAAGTTGTGGTCAGGGTGGTTGGCGGTCGGTGGCGGGGCTGACTATGGTGATCGCCGACAGGTTGTTCTTCGATGTGACCGACGACCGGCGGTGACGGTAGCAGACATGGCGTCAACCGGCGGTGGTGACCACCGGCCGGGGGTGGCTGTTGGCGGTGGTGGCCGGTGTACGGCGACGGTTGACTATGGTGGCTAGGAGGGGTGATGGCGGTGGCTGGCAGGGGTTACTGTCGGTGGGGGACCGATGTCCAATGGTGGTTGCTTTAAATGTAGATCCATCAATAAATCCTCAGTTATCAAATAGCGTGATTACAATGTAGCACTATATATATA